TATTTCAAGTTGTCTGTGCTGCATTGGTTCCATGATGGAACTCATATTTGAAAATAACTCAAATTTTTGACTTATCCATGGTTTCCCAAAAATTGCCCTAAAAACAAATTGAAAGATAATCACAAGCCAAAACACGCATTTGAAAGAATGAGGATGTACCATCACAATAAAAAAAAAAACAAGAAATGTCAAAGTGAAATGTCAGAGATATCAACTGTCAAATTTAGTACTTAAGTAAATCAGACGTTCCTTACTTAATAACCTAATAGATCCAATAAAGACACAGGCTGAACTGTGGGCCAACTAGTTTGCAGGAGTGAAAGTGAGAAAAAACTTGGAGAAGTACTCCTGGGATCAGAATAAATATCAAACACTAACCTCTGGAACTATTCCTTCAAAGGAGACTGAATTTGTTTGGATTAGTCTGTAGGGAAATTAATGCCCCCAGGGCATTGTCAAAAACAATGGAGCAATCAATCAGCCATTAGTGAAGTTTAACAGCTTTGATATGGTCAGGGGAAGAGGGAAGAGAGCTCCGCCAAAACCAGTCAGCCCAGGGTGACTGTGGGCATACCCAATGTTGTATCTCCCTGAGAGACAACATCGGACGCTTCACACTGGGGTAGGGGGAGAGAATTCACTAAAAAAAATCCAGCCAGTCACTAAACAAGTAAATAAGCAAATAACAATAACAAGCCTGGGTAGAAATAGGTACCAGTACCAAGATTGCTATAATATATTATCTTAAATGTCCAGTTTCCAACAAAAATGTCATAAGACGTGCAAAGAAATAGGAAAGTATGACCTGTATACCAGAAAAAAAAAGTAGACAATTGTGAGAGTGACACGATGTCAGATTTAACAGAAAACTTCAAAGTAGTCCTTATAAATGTTTAGAGAACTAAAGGAAAACATGATTAAAGAGGTAAAGGAAAATATGATAACAATATCACATCAAATGAGAATATCAAAAGAGATAGAAATCATTTTAAAAAATGGAAATTCTGGAGTTGAGAAGTACAACTGAAATGAAAAATTCACCAGAGAGGCTCAATAGGAGACTCGAACTGGTGGAAGAATTAGTGCAGTGGAAAATGGATGATAGAGATTATACAACCTACAGAGCAGAGCAAACAGGTGAAGAAAAAGGGTGAGCAGAGCCTCAAAGAAACATGGGACACCATTAAGCATACCCACATGTATGCAATGAAAATATCAAAAAGAGAGAAGTGAGAGAAAAGGGAACAGAAAAAACATTTGAAGAAATAATGGTTGAAAACTCCCAAAGCTATCAAAAAGCACTAACCTACACATCCAGGCAGCTCAATAAACTTCAGATAGGATAAATGGAAAGAGATCCATAGACACATCAGAGTAAAAATGCTCAAGTCAAATCTTGAAAGCAGCAAGAGAAAAACGACTCGTCACTTATGAAGGAACCCAGATAAGACTACCAGCTGGTTTCTCAGCAGGAACGATGGAAGCCAGAAGAAAGTAGGATAATACATTGAGAGTGCTCAAGACATCACCTGTCAACCAGGAATCCTACACCCAGCAAATCTGTGTTTCAAAAACAAAGGCTCAGATTCTCTCTGAGTTCCAGGTGGAGAGAGGTGACTTCATGGTAGACATGTCCACTTGTATGTCCTGGGGGAACCTGAAAGCCACTGTCTTCACTCATTTGTGCTGCTATAACAAAATACCTTTGAGTAATTTATGAAGGAGAGAAATTTATCTTCTCACAGTTCTGATTTCCAAGATCAATACAGTTTCAGCATCTAATGAGGGCCTGTCTCTCTGCTTCCAAAATGGTGCCTTGTTTCTGTGCCTTCTGGAGGAGATGAACACTGTGACTTTACATGGCAGAAGGGACAGAGACGTAACGATTAGTTCCCTTCAGCCCCTTTAGAAGGATGCTAATTCCATTCACAAGGGCTCTGTCTTTGTGACTTAATCGCCTCCTTAAGGCCTCACCTCTTACTGCTGTTGCATTGGGGATTACATTTCAAGAGGAATTTTGAAGGGGACACAAACATTCAAACCACAGCACAGCCATTTGCCAAGCTGTCCTCATCGTCATCTTCCCCACCCCCCTCCTGTGTGCTCCTGTGAATGGGCTCTGTGGACAGGCTGCCCTCGCCCAGTGCTCGTCCCAGACTCCTTCTCCCACAGGCCCTGACCCCAGATCTGCCCCCAACATCCCGCTGCTGCCTTGCTTCACCCCATTTCCTTTGACAGCCTTTCAACTGCGCTGCCTACCTCCACCTTTGCCCGCTTCTTGACCCATGGCCTCCACAGCAGCAAGAAAGATTTTTCTGAAATGCAGATCTGATCTCTGATCCTCTCACGCTCTCTCTCTCTCTCTCTCTCTCACACACACACACACACACACGCACACGCACACGCACACACACACCATTAAGACTCTTCCAGATCTCCCCATTGCCTTTCAGAGAGTCATCCACATGGCTGGTGGCAGGTAAGGCAGGTAAGGCTCCTTCCTGATCTGGCCCTGCCAACATGTATAGCCACCCCGTCTGCTCAAGCCACACCAAACTTGATATTTCAAAATGGCTTTTGCCTGTCCCTGTCCCCTTTGCTGGGGGTGAAGTCCCTCCCTTTTCTGCCTAGCTAATGCCATGTCCTTTAAGACACAAGCTCACTTATTGCCTCCTCCAGAAAGCCTCCCCTGATTCTCTCCCTGGCTTAGATCCTGCTTGACATTACATCTTGACAGCACTGGACCATCTCTTCCCCCACAGCATTTATCGCATTGCATTGTAAGTTTTCTGTTCTTTTTTTCTCAATTTTTGAAAGATTTTATTCATTTGGTTTTTCATTTGTCTAGCTTCCATACTAGAATGCTTGCCTGCAGCTCCTGGCACATAGTAGATACTCAATAGATATTTGCTGAGTGAGCGTTGAATGGATAGAATGTACCAGAGGATCTTGGCAGGGGGCAGAAAAAGAAGTTAAGCAATTATTACGGTGGCCCAGGAGGGAGGCGCTGAGGCTGGAGACCAAGGCTCGGGCAGCAGAGATATGGAACCAACGGGGTTTAGACATTGCCTTGAAACCTGCAACAAAGGAATACAGCAAAGGAACATACCTCCGTGCTTCAGGGCCCTATTTTTCGACAGTTCGGATGAGTATCCCAGGGACGGTGGCTGCTCTGGAAGCTACCCTATGAGCGGGGCGGAGGTGAAGTTTGGTTGGCGGGGACAGGGAACTGTCAATGCAGCTATTCGCCGGCCAACCCACTGCCTCTCCCACCCGACCTGGCGCCCTCCAAGGCCTAGGGTGCAGGAGAGGCTTGTGTATCTGGAGTCACACAGGGTTGGGAGGGTTGTGGGGAATAAAGTATAAGAATATTTGAGAGAACCTTCAAACATTATGCTAAGTGAAAGAAACCAGATACACAAGGACATATCTTATATAATTCCACCTATATGAGGTACCTAGAATAGTCAAATTTACAAAGATGGAAAGTAAAATAGTGGTTAATGGGGTGGGGGTGGGGGAAATGGGAAGTTAGCATTTTTTTTTTTTTTTTGAGACAGGGTCTTGCTGTGTTGCCCTGGGTGGAGTGCAGTGGCATCATCACAGCTCACTGCAACCTCAGACTCCTGGGCTCAAGCGACCCTCCTGCCTCAGCCTCCCGAGTAGCTGGGACTATGGGCACACACCATCACATCTGGCTAATTTTTCTATTTTTAGTAGAGACGGGGTCTCGCTGTTGTTCAGGCTGGTCTCAAACTCCTGAGCTCAAGCGATCCTCCCACCTCGGCCTCCCAGAGTGCTAGGATGACAGGCGTGAGCCACCATGCCAGGCCGGGAGTTAGCATTTCATGGGTAGACAGTTTTGTTGGGGATGATGAAAAGTTCTGGAGATGAGCGGTGATATGGTTGCACAACAAAGTGAGTGTACTTAATGCCACTGACTTGTACATTGGAAAAGGGCTAAAGTGGCAGATTTTACACTGTATACATCTCGCCATATTTGGGGTAATCCAGAGAGTGAGGAGGAGGGGGTAGGGGGAGGCCAGTGGCAGTCTGTCTGTGCTCTCTGCCGAGCTGGGCGGAACCCGTTGCTGTCAACTCAGGGAGAAGCCAGTCAATGGAAATTTATCAGCCAGAGGACAGGCCTGTGTTCCCCTTGTGTGTGACTGTCCCCCTTCCTTCTCCCCTCACGGGGGTCGCTCACCAGTGTGGCGAACGAAGGAGAGAGAGGTTTTCTCAGGAGTCCTCTGAATTGGAAACCAGTAAGGAGCCTTGGGCCCCGGCATAGACACGCCCTCCAGAGCTCAAGTCTAGCCTGGGCTACAGCTGGAAGCCTGCTGGGCCTTCCCTGAACAACCGTGGCTCACTGTTAAGATATCTCTGCCATAATGAGTCTTGGACCCATGAACCTTCCCCCAGCCCACGCCTGCTGGCCAAGCCCTGTGACTTGGGACGAGACTGGGGCGCGTCCTGCGAGCAAAGCAGGGAAATTCCATTTCTAAGGGCTTGGAAGGGAAGAGCAAGTGGCTGGGGCTGGGGGCCCTGGGGAGGGTCAGGGATGATTCCAAGTCCATGAGAAGCCATGATATTTTCCTGACTTCAGAGAAGCAAATTCCCCGGAGCTCACACCATCACTATTCCAAATACGGGGGCCTCCTAATTCCCACAGACCTATACCAACAGGAACATTCTTTTTGCACCTTAAAGCAAAGCTGGGGCTGGAACAGCAGCATTGGAAGCTACCCTGGGAGTATCCCAGTCCAGCGATGCCCTCATTTCCCAACCACGTGGTCGCCTCTAGCTAGTTAGGTCAGAGCGGGGGCCAGGTCCCACGGGCCTTGACTGCGGCCCATTGCCCGTCCACGCCCCATCCCTCCTCTTAGCTCCCTGTTTGCATCTAGTGGCTTGGGGGGTTTGTCTGGGGCTAGCTCTGCCATCTTGTCATGTATCACCATGATTTTTTTTTTCTGCAGGAGGTTCTCTGGTAAAACAAGTATAATATGAATCCCAGGAAGTTGTCCCTCATAGCGGGCATCTTTTCTGTCCTCAACACCATCCAGTTCCTCATCTTTGACCTGAACCAGTTGACACAGATTGGCTATGAAGACAGTTTCAGCATCTACCTGCACACAAAGTCCCAACTAGTCTCTAGGGTCGTGACCTCCAAGGATAGCATCAGCATTAGCCTGTCCCTCCCCACCTTCCTGGCCAGCTGCTTCCTCCTCTACTGCATCCGCACGAACATCTACGTGGGGCCGCTCGTCTACGCGCTGTGGATCACCGCTTACGAGCTCGCCAGCTTCTCCCTGGTCCTGCTCGTCAGAGGGGCCATCAAGGAACAGTTCAAGGAGCTGAGCTACTTGTACTTGACCTTGCAAATCTCACGCATGCTCCTGCATTTCTTCTGTCTGCCCTTCGTTGTCAAGCTCGCGTACACCCTCTACAAGGACCCCCGCAGTCTGGGCAAGGTGCACAGGTGCAGGACCTCCTCCATCAGCATGGTGGACCGCAAGCTGAACTGAACTGCTCCACGAAGAAGAGGGAGAGAGGGAAGTGCTCCTCAGCGGCAGAGTCCTCCCTGCCCCGCCTGCCTTCTGTCCATGCTGCTTACCTTCTCGGTTCTCGAGTTTTATGCACTGAAGAGTGATTCTTGGGGGAAAGAGGGTTGCACAGATCAATTATTGTGCATGTGTGTGCGTGCGCGTGTGTGATTTGTTTTAGCAGTTGATGGTGCGCTGCCTTTGTGCTTACCTACCCGTCTCACTGGTATATGTTTTTGTCTCCCATAGTCCCCTCTTCTCTGCACTTGCTCAGTTTCTGATTCTTCTCTGTGCCTTGCCCCATGGACGCACGATTCTGCTGAGTCCTTTCGGAGTGGTGCTGTCCAATAGAACTTTCTGTGCTGATGGAAATGTTCTATATCTGTCCTGTCTACTGTCCATGTGTGACTATTGAACACTTGGAATGTGGCTATGGCAATCGAGTAACCACATTTTAGATTTTATTCCATTTTAATTAATTTCAATTTTAATAGCCACATGTGGCTGGCTCGTGGCTGCCATGTTGGAGAGCAGTGTTCTGGAGACTCGCTATGCTCCTGCATGCCACCATGGGGAAAGGACCCCTTGCCAGCTTCACGCCTCACTCTGCTTCCCACACCCTTTACAGAAAGCAGTTCCTCCTGCTGGCTCATAACGCAATAGCAAGAAGAATCCCCATTTAAGAAAGCTCCAGGATGTCTCGACTTAAGCACTATTGATTGACTTTCTGCACTGAGTAAATCTGTCTTGTGGGAGGCTGTCCTTTGCATCGTAGGACGTTTAGCAACATCCCTGGCCTCTGCCCACTAGATGCCAATAGCGACTTCTCGTCCCCCCGCCCCCACTGTGACAACCAAGACTGTCTCCAGACATTGCTGAACGTTTCCCGGGGGAGAAGGGCTGTTCTGAAGCAACGCACCCCAGTGCTGAGCCCTGGCGGCCCTGCTGGGAACTGAGGAGCCCCGCTTACTCAGAGCTCCCTGCATTCACCCCCACCCCGAGCAGTTTTAATCCTAAAGCCCCATTTTATGGTTTGATGAAACTGAGGCTGAGGAGGTTTAAGTGATGTGCTCAAAGTCACACAGCAGCAGAAGCCGGACTTTCCTCTAGCTCATCTGCCTTCAGACACAGAAGTCATACTTGGTCCCCTGATTCACTCACTCTTACAGAGATAAAAAGGAGGGACCTTCTTTGGGGATAGTTCCTTTTCCCTCAAAACATGTTGGGAGTGAGGTCAAGGGATAGTGTTTGTTTCGAACACACTCTTCCAAACCGTGAGCATAATGCCAGCAGCTCACTGTCGCCGAACACCTGATGAGTGCCAGGTGCGGTTCTGACTTCCCGCCACGCTCAGAGGGAGAGTCAAACCTAGGCCAGTTCCCAACATGACCACCAGATGGCAGGCAGCCACCGGCTTCTGCCCAGGGCCGCCCGCCTTCCGCGCCAGGTCCTCTAAGGGGCCGATCTGGGATTTAGGAAGCCTGAGCTGACGCCTGGGAGCCAACGGTGCGTGCCTCTGCCCCCGTCTCGCGAGTGCGCCTGTTCGGATTGGGACGCGTCAGTACTAGAAACACAAAGGATAAAACATGGGCGGATTTCTGGGTTCTGATCCCCCACCCCATTTGGGGTCTCGGGGTGGGCGGTGCGGGCTGGAGACGTGTGTGGGAGACGCGCAGGCAGGAAAGCTCCAAGGATCGGCCGAGGAAGAGCCACTTGATGCGGGAGAGCTTAACACGAGGCTGCGCTCCCCTCTCTACGAAGACTCCCCGAGAGCGTGGCTGCCTCTGCCTCCACTCCCCGGCCTCCGTCCTCCCCGGAACCCCCTCCAGTGGGGTCTTCAGCCCCCGCCGCTGCGGGACACTGCTCTTGTCCGGGTGGCCCCACACGGCGCCACCCAGTGGGCAATTCTCCGCCTCGGCTCGCCTGTTCTATCAGCGGCTTTGACCGGCTGATCGCTCCCTCCCTCCGCAGGCCTCTCTCCCGACTGGGGGCTCGGGGCTGCCTCTCGCTCGGCTCCCCACCTGCCTCGCGGGGCCGCGCAGCACTGGAGCGCCCCCGGCTCGGGCTCTGGGCCCCCCGTCTCCTCTGCGTCGCTGGCTCCCGGCTCGCCTGGCCCAGGCCCGTCGCGTATAACCTCCAGCCTGGACCTCTCCCCTAACTCTGGGTTTGTTCACCCAGTTGCCTCCTCGGTGTGGCGGACGGCCTCTAACACGGTCCCCAAAGGTCCCTGCCAGCCGACAGGCAGAGTCCTCACCTCCCCTTGCATGCGGGCTGGACCCAGTGACCCTCTTCTAGCAAATGGAATGTAGCAAAAGGGAGGGGATGTCACTTCCAAGATCAGGTGACAGACGGATGACGACTGCAGTGTTGCTCGCTGTCTCTGAGGGGGCCAGCTGCCATGCTGGGAGTGTGCTCATGGGAAGGCCCGCGTGGCCAGCAGCTGATGTCACTAGCCAAGTGCATGTGAGGAACTGAGTCCTGCCAACAGCCCCAGGAGTGAGCTGGAAGCAGATCCTCGCCCGGTAGAGTCCTGAGGTGACTGCGGCCCCGCTGACACCTTGACTGCAGGTGACAGCCCCTGCGTCAGACCCCGAGAGTCCGGAGTCAGAGGACCAGGCGAGCCGTGCCGGGCTCCTGACCCACGGAACCCGGGACGTAGCGAATGCATTGTGCTGAGCGGCTAAGTTTTGAGGTGAATTGCTACACAGCAGTAGATAACTAATACACGCCACCTCTCCGTACCAGTGCCTGGGAGCCATCTCCAAACAAGTCCCAATCCCCTGATTTTCTCCCACAAACCTGGCTGACCTGTCTTTCCTACCTCCTGCCTTCCAGCTGCTCGGGACAAAGACCCGCCGTCCTCCCCAGGCCCTCCCTTTCTCTCAGCCCGCATCCTCCCCTCAACAACCCGGCAGCCCACCCTTCAGCGCCGATCCAGATGCCACCACTTCTTGTCACCCCCCTGCCGCCTCCCTGGCCTGCGCCGTCACCGTCTCTTGTCCAGGCTCTTGCAGTAGCAGCTCCCGAATGGTCTCCTGATGCCACCCTGTTCCCTTTGCAGTCAGTTCTCCACCCAGCTGCCAGAGGGGTGTCATCCAAACCCAAGTCGGATCGTGCCCCTACTCTACTCTTCTGCTCCTGACCTGTCAGGGCTCCCCACCACACTCAGAGCAAACCTCCTTACCATGGCACGCCAGGTGCTACGTGACCCAGTTCCCTGTCATCCCTCTGGTCTCCTTTCTAACGTCTTTGTCCTCCTTCCCTCTGCCGCAGCCATGCTGGCCTCCTTGCGGTTCCTCTAACACCCAGCACACTCCAGCTTCAGGGCCTTTGCACTTGCTGTGCCTTTGGCCTGGAATGTTCTTACTCCAGGTAGCCACCGGCTCCCTCTCTTGCTCTGTCAGGTGTCTGCTCAAGTCATCTTATTAGAGAGGCCCTCTCAACCCACGAGCCACAGCCCCTCCCTGCCCCCGACTCCTCTATTCCACTCGTCTTGCTGTGCTTTCTCATAACGCGCATTGGCGCCTGACTTGCTGTGTATGGTGACCGCCCCCACCCCCAGAAATGTGAGCACCATGTTTACTTCGCTGCTGTGTTCCCAGCACCTAGAACAACGCCCAGCATGTCGCGGGCACGACAAAGATTTGTGGGAGGAATGGACACAGCCCTCAGCAGACCTGAAGGCCGTTGTGCCCGGTTCTCCACCTGAGGATGCGGGCCGGTGAGGGCTCGTTCTTGCTGCCCTTTCAGCCGCCTCTTCCTGCGCCCTTCCCGCCCGCACTGCTGCGCTCTTTGGCGAGGACTCCGGGTAGTTGCAGGAGACACCCACCGATCGATCGGGTCTCAGCTTCCTTACCCCTTCCCCACCCCGTCCTTCGCACCAGCTGCCACCACTCATCCCCCAGCTCCACCTCGCCAAGGGTGCAAAAAGCCTTCCTGGCAGCGCAGGTGGCCCTGCGAAGGGCAGCGCTCTGAGAGCTGTCACCCGGCCCCGACACCTTCAGTCTGCGAAGATCTCCGGCCTTCCTTCCCCTTTTCTTCACACGGTGCGCGACCGACTGCATGGCCGACCCTGAGCTGTGATGTGGGGAGCGCCCTGGAAGGTGAGACACGGCCCACCTTCCACGGAGCTCCCAGCCCAGCGAGGGGCCTGGTCACTCAGGCCACTTGGACCTGTGTGACAGGTGCTGGAGAAAGCACGGGGACCACAGGAGGGTGGAGAGCCAGGGGGTCTTCCTGGAGGAGGAGACCTTCAAGCCGAGTCTGGGAAGAGAGGGTAATTTGGCCCGTAGCAGGGAGGAGGGAAGGGGGCAGCGGGAGCCTGGGAGGGGGGCCACTAAGGCTGCAGCTCTTCTGGGTCGCTGCCACCAGGGCTGAGGGAAGGGCTCTGTGTGGACGAGGACGGTGTCAAGAGGAAGTAGGCAGGCACGGAACCTCCCCAGAGAGAAGAAGGGCTCCCCTTTCCCACGGCTCAGCTTAGGTGTCCCACCACCGGCACCTTCTCCCCCAATTTCCCAGCTGGCTGCTGCGCCTGAAACCCCGGGTCTCCCCCGCAGCCGTGTCCCACGGAGGACAGACTCCCCCGACCCGTTCAAGATGTGCAAATGTCCCGTCGGGTGCACCTCTTTTCACACTGTGGACCTGCTGTGCGCCCCTCCCCGCCTCCCCCAGAGCTCCCCCGTCCATGGCCAGTGAGCCTGGCCCGCGCAGCCCTCCTCGCCGTCCTTGGTCTCCTCCGACCGCTGGCGGGGACGGATGCCCCGCTTTCCTCCAGTCACTGTGCCCACCCGCGAGTGCCTCGTGACGCCCGAGCGCCAGCCCCGCTGAGGCTGCCTGGAGCGGCTGCGCCCAGGCTCCCGGAGGCTCCGCCACGGGGGTGCGCAGGGGACAGCTCCCTTCCAGTCCCTTCCACCCCCTCACCAGTAATTAGTAAAAGAGAAACCCGTTTAAATCCCTGTTTTATTTTCCACGATTAAATTATG